CCAAAAAGGGATTCATGAAAATCTTCAACAAAGATGTCTTTCATATCCGTGGTATTACAAATGTATCGTCTCCAAAGAGTGTCATATAGCCAAGAAGAGGTTGTCAGAATAATCCCAGGAGGCCTGACCCTCCAAATGGCAAACTCATCTGACAAATGAGTGGGAAACACTCTGTAATCAAAGACCAATCACATAATTGCTCTATTTTGCCACTAGCTCAACCATCTCCTGTGAGATTAGTTGTTCAGAGGAGAAACCTGATACTCTGGGAAGTTAAACAGATGTTCTGAAAAACAAACTCATCTCCTCAGAACAAGAACACATCACTAAAATATGTTCTAATTTAAGGAGCGCTGACTCCAGATATGTCTCTCCACAAGGGAACTCACCCAGGCCAGTTTTTACACAATAAAAGTATTAATGCAGTGTTACAGCTAAAGCAAGGTTCTCATTAAGAAAACAGCAAGACTTCTCGGAGAATATTGTCAACTTGATGTCACCGCTGAGGAAAGCATGTTGACACTCGTCTTTATCTGCTTTGACATACTGCGTATACAGGGAACAACACATGGAGGGGATCTCACACAGGAATTTGTTACACAGTGTAAGCACGCACAAAAAATGTCCATGGCTCCTCACAGTCCCGCACTGTTTAAAGATTCCAAGTCAAGAAGCAATAACCGAAGGAGAAAGCCATTTCTCTTCATCCATTTATAGTGCACAGTTCACTTTAAACTTGGCTACAGCTCAGTCATGACATCAGCTGCTTTAGGCGTGAGAAAACGTTGTTTTATAAGCTAAGGCGACCGGTTCTGAGATTTTTTTTCTTTTGGTGTTTAGTTTAGCTTCACAGAGGCACAAAGGCAAGGGTCTCCCTGCCAGACTGTCTCTGTATCTGCTGATACTCTGATCAACACTGACAACGTGAGAAATGACACATTTCCGTTGCATAGCTGCATTTCACAGGGCCATCGTCACGGAGCACTTAGGAGTGGAGGAATGAAACATCAGGGGGATTAAAGTTGGAAGGAAGTGGATTTTTTGGAGGGGTCCCATGTCCCCCCCACTGTTGGAGAGTGTAGCCCCTATATTTTATGACATAGACTCGCACTGTGGGCTGGGACTGATTCGTGGTTAGAAAGTGGGTCAGTATGAGCTGGAAGAACCATTGATTGTGTTCGATGTTTGAGCCAAAAGGAGAATAATGTTCATTCAAATGGAAAACGTGTGCAGGATAAAAGAGCCTCGTAGGACTTGTAAAGACCCGTATGCGAGTGACCCGTGTCCTGAATGTGGAGCTGAATGCATATAAAGACAATAATGTACACATTCTGCAGCTCTGAACATATTACACGATGCTCAAACACTCAGACGACATCACAAGACTGAAATACTGCAGTTTTTAATCAGCATGGCACTCTCCTGGTTGACTTCCAGGAACATTACGCATACTATCTCATTGTTGGCCTGTTCTCATACACTCCGCGTATAAACAGGGCAGATGAAAGTAATTATCTGTGAGCTGTGGCCTGCTCTCTCATATCAGATGGTTAATTAGTCCATTTGCTTTTAGCCCTGCAACATCCAGAGCTGGTGGTCTTTCAACTGGCGGGGAGGCGGAGACCTTGTAAAACTGCTTTTAACTAAACAACATCACTTTCTCCAGTGCCTTCAGAGGTTGTTTACAACATGCCGGCTCGGAGCAGCGAGGACCATGAAATACAGTGTGTAGTCAATAAACATTTAGCAGGATTATAAAGCAAGTTAAAAGTTCTGCATGACATCAGTCGACTCTATTGGCAGATATGTTTTTTATCCACGCTAGCATCATGGCTTTACGGATGTCAGTCAGCCGGCCCATCACCTCAACAACAACTGTTGGATGAATGTTTTAAAGTAATTATTGGTGCCCTGAAGATGAATACTGATGAGTTGCTGACTGTCTGACAGCAGGTCGAACTTCATTTGCTAGATGGATTGACACAAAATTTTGTATATAATTTTCATCTACCACCTTTATGAGGTGAATGTCTCGACAAATATTGGTTGGATTTCCATAAAATATTCAATTATTCGTGATCCCCAGAGGTTGATTCCAACTAAATTTGGTGATCCTCTGACTTTTCCTCTCACGCCAACATTAGGTTGACTTTTTAGTTTCTTTGTGAAACATCACTGTATAATAGTATATAACATATAATAATTATTGAATTCATCCCTCAGGATGAATTGTAATAACTTTGGTCATCCATTAACCTTTGATGTAGCATCAACAGCAGCCTCAGCTGTACTCTTTGTTTAGTGCTAATTAGCTAATGTTAGCATGCTAAATTAAGATGGCGAATAAGGCAGACATTAAAACTGCTAAACATCAGCATGTTATCACTGTGAGCATGTTAGCATGCTGACTTTAGCGTTTAGCTCAAAGCTCTGCCTTGCATAAAAATAGCCTCTCACAGAGCCGCTGGCAAGGCTGTAGACTCTTTGTCTTGTTCTTTCTTCAGCTGTGAACAATACATTTGTTTCTATCATGTTTGCAGATATCTAGAATGGATATACAAATGATTAGACAAAATAACAGGAACAGCTTACAATATAATGAAAAATGATACATAAACACAACAAACTGAAACCTCAAAAGTTACCATGAAGTTGAGTGAGCTCTCTCAGACACAAAATAACTGATATTGTAAACTTCACAAAGGGAGTATTTATTGCAGGACTATTGTATTATATTGCATCATATTCTGAGGAGTTTCTATTATACTGTGGACCCCAGTATAGTGATGATTTGTAATAAAAATATTTGTGCAATCTGATTTCTTCACAAATGGCTTTGAGTCATAAACAGTTTTACTGCACATGAAATATGCAATCAAGCACAGTCAGTCGCTTTGTCAGATGTTAATCCAGCCCATTGATGTTGAGATCTAAAGGGAAGTTGGAGTTCAGGCAGAAATGTGCTTAACTCTGCTGTATGGTCATCAGATATGGGATTAAAAGCTCCCATGTGAATAGTTAATCTGCATAAATGTCAGGTGTTTATGTAAACAGAATCAAATCCCCATAAATGTCTACATGTAAACCACGTCATCAGTACAACACGGGGGCAAATGAAAATTGAGTATTAGGTTACTGAGAGCATCTGATCACACACGCAGTTTCACTGTGTCCATGTTTCTAAGGGATTGTCTGAATGTCTGTAACACAATGAGCTCAGTCATTTCACCAAACTGCATTTACTTGCAAAATCTCATCAAAAGCCTATCAGGAACCTGATCCACATGGTAAACAGTCTGCACTGCAGCAGCTCTGCTTGTAATCATATGGGTACAAATGTTTGTCCCTGTCAGGGCAGGAAGTTTTGAAAGGCTTATTACATTAGAGTGCGAGTGTGTACACATCCTGTGTTTTTAAGATTAAAGGATGATTCCGGTTTATTACAACTTGGGTTTTATTTTTGTAGTTTTGGCCATCGGTATTATAACATCATACTCAACAAGTCTGAGATCTGGGAATGCTGCAAAGTCGCTAAAAAGAAGTCAGAAGGAGCACACGTCTCAGATGATCAGACAGATATTAAGCAAACTTCCAGGTTAGCCACATTTATTTGGAAGAGAAAATAAAGGTATGCAGTAAAAATATTATTAGAAGTAAAAACTGATCCCCTTATTACTATCAGACTTTATTTTAGCCAAGTTTCTGTGTTCCCTGATGTCAGCAATTTCTTAGGAAAATACATGTTTTTTTCTTATAAAGAGGAGAAAAGATTGCCAAAACTATAAAAACAAAACCCACGTTTTTATAAACTGGAATTATCTTTTAAACCTCCATAAAACATTTAGACTGAGATCTTGGATCAATCATACAGGGGATTTTGAAGAGGGTAAGGGGTAAGGACACACCTATCATTTCTGTTCAAGCGTTGCTCCTCTCGCTTACAGCGGGACTAAGCGTGTATGAGGTAATACAGCAAAAGTAATTGAAAGAATTACAGCGTCTCCAACCACAACCCTGTGTATTTTTCTTGAGGGTCTCTGGTTGTCAGAGGGGGAGTGGACGGAAGGTCCACAGTTGCTCCTTGGATCTCCCAGGTTGTTTAAACAGGAGAGAAGGATTGTAATCCACCATGACAGGCCTGTAGCACTCCAACACACACATAGCAGACAAAAACGCACACATGCAAGCACACTTTTCAGCTGGAAGATGGTGTGTCTGTGTGGGTGTGGGGTCGGCAGCAACCCGACATGTTGACAGCTACAAGTGCAACCACCAAGAACCAGGAAATACAGACAGATCTGTGGGCTGATACATCTACCTACAGAGGCTGACTTTGAGCCTACATGGAAGCATCTCTGCACTCAGTCAGCCCACTCCAAAAAGTGGTTTCCATGGTGACGACAGCAGCGAAAAAAGGGGGCTTCGGCCTTGGCGACAGCTGGGGCTTACTGTGGATTGAGGACGTAATTCCTGTTCGTCACAACAACCCCCATCGCCCCTAGAAAATTAGTCCTCGTCTGGTCGCCACTTTGGTAACTTTGTTTCTAAAAAGAGTTTTCTTTTTTCTTTTGAGCAGTGCAGATGAGACACAAAATAAAGTGTCTGTTCAGAAGTTTCCTTTCAAGGGTATTTTATTGTGTTTTAAAATAGCAAGGTTTTGACATCACCTTGAACACAGCCTGTAGGTGGAGGAGTTTCTCTCAAATGTGGGTAAGAAAGGTCAGTTACAGCGCTTCACTTGTCCTGTGCTGACCCCCACAGGAGCTGCAGAGTGAGACCTGCAGAAGCCTGGAAATCAATGTCCAATTCTGAACTAAGAGGCAGAACTAATGGCACTAAAAATCCTTGCACCTCCACAGAAAAGGGCAGCGCATGTCCACAGAGAAACTTCTTTTTGTAAGTTTTTTAACTTACTGTAACAGACATAGTTAAGCTGTCAGAGGAACAAAATGCACAAAGTGGTACATACACAAAACATGGGCAGCATGCACGCAGCTCACCTGGTTGATGTGTTTCAGTTTGTCTATGATCTGGCTGATGATCGGCTCAGGGGGCTTGTTGCTTCGGGACTCTGAGCCCGGGTGCGATCGCTTCAGGCCAGGTCCAGGAAACCTGATAAGACAGGAAGAAAACATTGATTCAGTTCTTCTGATTGTTTCTAATTGGGACTTTTACTGAATTTAGAAACCATAATTTAGAAAAGTAAGTTTCACAAGTGGAGGTCATAATGAACTGATCACTTCTCAATCACCCCAAACAAGGTGTTTATCACCATCTAGTGTTGATAAGATGAATGACAGCTCCTCTGTTTTTTAGCTTAGGGGCCAATCTGCAAAGCTGGAAAGTTCATTTGTAACTCAACCCTAACCAAAGAACTAACTTTTCCCTCACTGAAGACATTATGTCTATAAAGTTAAACACCGAATCACATTTTTAATGTTTAAAGATATTTTTTATACTTTTAATAAAAGCTGTGGAGACTGCAGAAAGAAACTATTTATGTTCAAAATGCTTAAGCACTGGGCTTTATTAAAATTTAACTCGTAGACACCGTGAGGTGAAACCATCCTCAAAGGAGTTTAACCATTATACAAAGTCTGGGTAATTAATTTCATGCACATTAAAATGGCCAATTAGTGGCTTTTAATCATATCTGGTGTTAATGAGAGGACATTAGCAGAAATGTCCTGCTCCAGTGGTGAGGGTATATTTAGGCACAACTAGCCTACAGGCAGGTGCTTACATGTCTCTCTGTGTAACCGAGGAAACACGGCTCTGTTGACACCTGTGTATGTTATCAAGAGGAGGAGTTGGTGAGTCTCAAACTTTCCCGCAGGTGTCTCTTGACTCTTGGCAGTGGCAGGAATTAACCCCTTCCCGACACAACATCACAGCTGTGCGGAGGAATCTAACTCACTCCTGCACGCATGAGACAGGCGTGTTTAGATGAACTAGAGTCAGGAGTGACAACATATCTTTCCCCCAGGCTGATATGAGTGGTGGTGAGGGCAGAGGTCATTTCTCGGCGTAAATGTCATCTGCTTTATTGCTGCAAATGTTGGAAAGATGAAGGACAAATGGGCCGGAGTGGGGAGAACTGATTTCCAGAGAAAAGGTTAGTAAAAAGAGAAAAGGGCCTTGGAAAAAAAATATGTGTGTGAGAGGCATCGTGTGTGTGTGAAGCATGAGGTCATACTCTGTTCTCATCTCTATGAAACTCCCTGAGCACACACACACACACACACACACACATACACACACCTTTCACCTGTCATCTCCACTCATCAGTCTTCTGCTCTCCCTGAAGTCAGACTTTTCATTAAACTCAAATTACATTTCCCCAGTTATTTATTCTTCTTATTAGCCATGATCTCACCCCCTCTCAGCTGCTAATTATCACATTAATAATGGAGAGAGATGTGTGATCCATTAAGGAGAGGAAAGGAGGAAATATGGGTCGAGGAAGGAGGATTAGGGGAGGGAGATTTTGAGTGAAGATAAGGAGCTGAGGCAGGTTAGTGTTTCACATGATAGATGCCAGTCAGATAATTTTTATAGACACATATTATAATTTAGCGCGTTTCCCTGTTAAACTGTTTTTTCACCACTGATAAGTCTCAGTTGTCAGCTCTCAGCTTGTTATCTGATCGTTTCTGTGTTATTGTTTGCTGCTAGCTGAGCTGATCAGATCAGTTAACTCCAGTGATAACCTAATCTAATCTAACACCAATTTACCACACCATTAGGTCCAGTCTGAATAAATTGCCTCTCACATCCGAATAAACAACAAAAGGAGAAGGGACGCGGGAGTCCAGGTGTTGAAGGAATTCTTAATGGAGTCTGGCGCTTTTCACACCACCTGATCACACTTCCACTCCCATGGTTGTGTTACTGTTCATACACTACTTCTTCTGGCTGAATGTCATGTTGAGCAAAAACAGAATCAGATTTAGATGATATCATAAAAAGAGCTGTGAGGGACTGTATTGTGTTTTATTGTATTTCTTTGAACCTTTATCTTGACTTGACAAATAAAACACCTTCCCCACAACATGTGAAAATGTTTGTTTATAGCCATGTTAGCAGGCGTGGCTCTAGGCAGGGCGATTTTGATCCATCTGTCCAATACTTTGGTCCAGTCTGAAATATCCCCAACAATCGGATGGATTGCCATGGAAGAGCAGATATCCATGATGTATTCTATCGACTTGATCGTGATGCCCTGATATTTCCTCTAGCGTCACCATGAGGCTCACATTTGTGTTTTTTAGTGAAATGTCTCAATAAATATTGGATAAATTGTCATGAAATTTACTAGACATTCCTGTTCCCCTCAGGATGAATTCTAAGCTCTTTGATTTCTTAAATGTCAAGTGTGTAACATTTTGGAGGATCTATTGGCAGAAATTGGCATTCACGTTTTTCTTCTGTTTTTTTCCGCAGCAATCGTATCTCCTACGTGCTTGAAAGGGGAGGGTGGAGCGACAATCTGCAATCTGCAACTACACCATTAGATGCCACTAAATCCTACACACTCGACATTTAACTTTTCCTATAACTACACCATAAGATCAAAATTATCATTCGTTCACTTTGGGTTTTGATCAAATACCTTCCCATCAGCCTCAGTAATACTTTGTGTTTAGTGCTTATAAAGTAGAATGATTACATGCTAAATTGAGATAGTTAACATGGTTACATCTGCTCCACATCAACACGCTAGCAATGTCATTGTGTTAGCAAGTGGAAATTAGCATTTAGCTAAAGCTTAAAGAGCTGCTAGCATCAAAATGAGTCTTAGATATAGGCCTAACAATCTGTTTTAATGGCTAATTGAACATTTGGCCAGCAGACTCCAGTTGAAAAGTAGCTTTTTGACACATTTGTAGTGATGTTTATCAATGTGCGTTGTTCTGAAAAATACACATTAATAAATCCCTGATAAATTCTGATTCTGATTCTGATCAGAGACAGAACTGCTGTCCTTTGCATAAAGTGCATCTTTATGAGCCATGGTACATGTGAAAGTTGTATTTTTTTTGTAACATTATATAATTATTAACTATTTTCCTATAGAAGGCTGAAATAAAATATCAGTTTAGGACAATAGAAAGAAAAGTTATATTACCCTTCATTCTCTAAAGAAGTCTAAAGAAAATAACAATGCCTTCCACTTTTCTGTCTTCCTCTCCCCACTATAAATTTTAATACAGTCCCTAAATTAAATGTTCACGGTTGACACAGCATCTTATCTTTTATCACTTATCACACACACACGAGTTTACACTGTCATTAGATCCAAAAGAGGAATGGAAATTTAATGTTTTTAGTTGACACGGCGTCACGTCTGTTATAACAGTTATCAGTGTGACGCTCTTTGATGTGGTGAAAAGTGTTGCTCCTCTGATCTTGGCTCCAGGTGGGTTGGTAAACACGGCTGATAAAAAGCGCCACATTTAGCTCCAAAGATCACTCCTCAAGTATCGGAGACATTCAGTACCCGACCCCTCCAGTGCTTACCCCTCCCACCCCTACCCAATCTAAATTTATCTGCATAGACAATATGAGGATGAATGCCACGTTTGGCTCTGGAGAAGGTCCTATCTGGGAGGATAATGGAAGATGATCCAGAACAAATCTGAGAGTGAAAATGTACCCAGAGTGAATTTGCAGGCATATGCCCTCGCAGATGACACAGGGAATTGCTTGCCGCAAGATATTGTAATCTCTCCATCATTTCGTCTCCTTTCCTGCCTCCCTGTACTTTCCTATCGCACTGTTTGGTCCAGCTTGTAATCATCCCCTCAGGACAGCTTTGCCCTCATGCCAACCTGATGTCTTCTCCTCAGATTGAGTTTCTTTTCTCTCTATGTGACAGACTCTCGTTCAGCAGTTTGAGAAAGCTCAGAATTTATTCTCAGCCCTCCACAGGAACAAGAGGTAAAACATTAACCTGCAGGGCTTCTCATCTGAAATGTGTTCCTCTGCATTGATTAAATTCTACACATAATTTACAAAGCAGAAAAGGAAAAAAAAGAATGATATCTATAACTATCTAAGCCAAATTGAAATTGGGGCCGGCTGACGGTGCAAGGCAGAAAGGAAGAAGTTATGATGTGTGGAGCCAATGGACAGGGGTGAAGTGAAATATTGCGAAAACCAAATGAGGTTCTGCAGGGTGCACAAGGAGATGGTGGATGAAGGAGGAGAGAACGATCGAAACAGCAATTAACTAAGCGAGAAGAAGGTGACAGCACGCCTGACATTAATAACATCCCATAGAGCCAAAGTCAAGATTTACACTCACACTCAGTGGGAGAGGGGGGCCCTCGTGTGAAGCTCATCAGCTCTCGGCAAACTTACCCTTCAACTCACCTACACACTCCTAGATGTGCTGCTGGAGTACTGGGAATTCAAGAATCAGAGCAGACTATTTGTATTACCGATCATTTAGAAAGCCAATAAACCTGACATGGAACATCCTGCAGGCTGTAGGGTGTGCTAGAGTGTGGATCGGTCTGCAGGTGCATGCAAGGCGTGCAGTGTGTTTTAGAGCTGTTAATACAGGAAAACGAGACATTGATTTACCTGTCTGTCATCTCCTGCCCATTCCAGCAGAGGGAGTGGTTTGCTGGAGCGGGCTCACGGCTGCACAGGGCCTCCCCAAGACCACTGTAGAAGGAGCTGAAGCCCTTCAGGTTGGATATGAACTCCCTAGAGTAGACAGAGAAAGGAAATGTTCAACATGGAGAGGGACAAAGAAAAAAACTTCAGTTAATGTGAATATGACACATCAGCAGGGAGAAGAGCAGAAATATAAATTGTCCGACAGTGAGACGATGACAGAAACAAAGAAAGCAACACAAAGAAGAAAAGGCAGAGGTAGAATAAGAGAGGGAATTTAGCTTGATAAGAGTGAAAGCAGGTCGATGATATCCCCCTTGAGAAAGAGAGAGTAAAAGAGGCAAGAATAAGCAGTGTCTCTATTCCTAATTGACATTAATCTAGCCATTGTGCTGCTGAGGCCAGCAGCCCCGCTGGGCATTATTACACTGTTCATTTAAGCCTGTTATTGCATCAGGGGTGTTAAAAACACTCAAGTGGAGAAAGAATGAGTGTCACAAGGAAACAGTGGAGAAACCTGTCCACAGTGTCAGGGACAATATTTGTCTGTCAGACATATATTGCCCCCATAGTGGTCTGGAGAGCGAGTGCTGCCTTATCAGCTGGAAGGGTCTCAGTCTGGATTACGGCTCCTGATTTCCTCACCTGCGGAGGCCAGCCAAAGTCTCATCAGAGTCTGAGGATGAGGGCTGCGTGTTGCGGGCTGCAGAGGCAGCGGGAGGCTGGGGAGGAGGGGATCCGACTGAGCGAGAGGCCCGCTGAGGAGTGTGTCCACACATTCCGCTCACCTGCAGAGGAGAGAGGAGAAAATGAGATACTGGAACTGAAAGACAGAATTCAGTTCCTTCAACCTCTTCACCTCACTTGTGTTTCATGGCTCCCGCTTCCTGGCTGTGCGCCTGTTTATTCAAACTGCAATGACACTGCAGACAGTAAGAACCTGTCAACAGCCAAACTGCCGGCCTTACTCAGCTGAGCCCCTCCGCAAATTGTCATCTGTTTGGGTTTGTTTATTTTTGGGAGGGATGAAAGCGGGGGGATTTGCATAACAAACAAGTCATTGTATCCTCTGCCAGTCGTTTCCGCCTTGTTCGAATTTGTAATCATAACACTCCAAAAAATGCGAGTGTGAAAATAAGGCCTCTCGTTTGCTTCTTCTTTCCCCATATAAATGCCATTGTGTTTCCACATGGGACAACATAACAATAATAAATAAGAAGTCCCTCTCTGTCTCTCAGAGATAATGGACCTGGCACATTCTTTTCAGGTGCAATAAAAATGCAAATGGCTGTTAATGTTTAGCTTGTGGTTTAATGATTTGCCGGTGGTTTAATTTCCCTCGGGGATACCGTCCGAGGCTTAATTCTGCCATGTAATGTTAACAGCTAATTGTGCCCAGCTCCCCTTTAAGTGAATAGGCTGCCACCACTGTTGCTGAATACTGATGTGACCAGATAGAGCAGCGCTGGACATCTTTATCTAGTGGCAACCGAGGCCACATATACACACACACACACACACACACACACACACAGATTCCCCCCACATAAACAAAAATGAATCATTTCATGCAATTACTCATTTGAACACAATGCACCTAAGCCCATTAACATGATAAACATGCACTCTTACATAATATAGTCATGACAAACACATAAACACACACACAC